ATTAACAAGCATTACCTGTGTTCTGGACGCACTGGTAGGAGTGAGACACTGCTTTTCACCTTGGTGTTTTCATGGCATAGAGAATATTTCCAGAAACATTATGGTGAGGAGAAAGTTTACACCTTATGGAAGATGTAGTCACAGAAGTAATCTAAAGGGTGATTCTTCACAGACAAACCAGATATATTTTTCCTCTCTTATCTCTTCCAAAAGGTCTTTCTGAGTCAGTGAAAAAACAAAACATGATCAATCCATGTCATTTCTCTGTTTTTGGTGAGAATTCCAGAAATTCACTAGGAGGTATAGTTTATTTTAATTGAAAAACGTAGTTTGTTTTATTGTAGTACCTGTATCGTGTAGGTGCTTCTCCCTCCCTTTTTTTTATTTTTCTCTTGGAAATAGCAGTCATAACTCTGCTCCACCAGTGTTGTTGTTTTCTTTACTAAGCTAGTTCTTTCCATTCTCATGGTGAGGTTTTGATTCAGATTCCACATTTAGCCTACTCATGTATTCAGCTGTACATATGAATTCCCAAACTATAGGAATTTCTTCATCTGCTTCTGACCTGCCTCTCCACAACTTCTTTATCTGGGTGTGAAGGCAGCAGGATCAGTCTTGGGTATGCACAGTGAGAAGGTGTTACATAAAAAAAAAAAAAAAAGAAAAAAAAAGAAAAAAAAAAAAAGAGAGAGACAGAAAGATGCTCACCCAAATTCAGAAATCTAGGCTCACAGGAAGACTGCACAAAGGAGGGCTCTCCAGCAAAAGATCCTTCCTCAGTGGCTGTCAGCCCTTAAAATGAGGTCAAAAAGGGGTAGAGCCAGGTTGCACAGGTGAATTTTAGTAAATCTAAGTCATGTTTTAACACCAGTCAGTTCTTAGCATCTTCACTGTGTCCAAAGTATTAGCAGACAGACTGTATGCATCTCTGCATCTCTGATATCTGCTAAAATCTTCTGAGCTTAGATCAAAAGTAGAACTACTCAGGATTTTTAGCACTATAATTCTATAACTGTTAGAGGCTCAATCACTTGTAGGTTTAAAGTAACAGGAAATCTTCGCCTTGTGGTAGGTAGCTCTGAAATCAGTATATGACATAACTAAAAGCATAATTTCTTTATGCAAAATTCAGGCTTCTCTAAAGGAAATCCAGCCCTTGTTCTGCTGTAGGATGCTTTGTGCAGGATCTGGGATGTAGCAAGGACAGGATTTCATAGGTGGGCATCATCACTTAAATAGTCAGTGTTGTCTCTCCTGAGACTGCAGTGAAGGATGTTCTGAGGCAAGGCAAAGGATATTTGGTGGAGGCTGAACCACGTTATTTAAAGTTTTATGACTTTGGGTTTTTTGTTTGTTTTTTTTCCAGGTTTGTAAAGAGAGGTATAGGAAGCATTTCTTGAAGCCAAATTGTTATGTACAGATTTAATTCTGTGAATTAATTACCTTTCAAAACCCTTCAAACCATGAACATCCAGAAATGGTTTCTTCATGGGGCATGCACAAGTACTGTGAATCCACTGTATTCTCCAGCTGGTAACTTTGATAAACAAGAAATGAAACAAAGGGTGCAGAATAGTTGTACTTTTTATTAACAGTGATGTATTAAAGTAGGTTAACAGCGTTTCAAAGCACTTCATAAATCAGTAAGAGAAATCACAGAACACAAACAAAATGACTCAACAAGGGTCAGTCAAAATGGCACTGAGAATGACATTGAAAATGCTTTTTGCTGTTATTGCTATATAATCTCCATTTATTGAAAGGAATTGATGCTTGATCAGGTCACCTCAAATGAAAGATGTTAAGGGGAGAAAACTCTAGAATCAGTCAACAAAGGAAATATATCATTTGACAATCTTGAAAGTATTCCCTGGTGTGCATCCTGGTCTTTGAAATGCTTCAGGGCTGGGGGCTCTCTGGGGAATAAACAGATATTGTGCATCCTCTTGTGTGCAATCCTCATGAGCCTAAAGTTAAAAATAAAGCCTGCTGCAGACTTCTCAGTCTTACTAAATTGTTTGTCTGATAAAAATTTTATTAGGAACTCTTTGATTGATTCCTGGCATGAATAATTAATTCATTGCTAACAGCTGTGGAGGACTAATTTTACAGATAATTCTTATTTTATTTCTTTATTTTTCTTATTTATTATTTGTTCATTTCTACTGAAGATTTTCTTTGTAATATGTTACTGGTCCTGCTGAAAAACTTTGTCTTGAGGGAGCTGGCTACTAGAATGGTTGCGACATATAAAAATGGGATTCATCTTCAGTTCAGTATTGAATGCATATTGACAAAGCTGAGGTAATCACATAAGGTCAAAAGGAGTGACTTTACTTTACTTTACTTTACTTTTCCTTTCCTTTACTTCGTGGGCTGCATCCCCTCATACAGGCTGCACTGACTGCTGTCCCGCGGGCTCCTCTATGTCTGCATGTGGAGATCTGCTTCACATAGTGCCTGTGGGCTGCAGGGAACAAACTGCTCCTCTGTGGGCCTCTCCTGGGCTGCAAGGAGCCTGGAGCTCCTCTTACCCTCCCTGCACTGACCCTGGGGCTGTAGGGCTGTTGCCTCACATTTCTCATTTTCTTTTCCAGCTGCTGTGTTGCAGCAGTTTTTCCTTTCCTTAAATCTCCTTTCCCAGAGGCACACCCAAGCATCAGTCATGGCTCAGCTCTGGCAGTAGTGGGTGTCTTTGGGAGCAACTGGAGCTGGCTCTATTCTAACATGGGGCATCTGCTGGGCTCTGCTTTCACAGAGGCCACTCCTGCAGGACCCTGGTTTTTAATGTGAGAGGTTGTTTGTTTTGAATAGAAACTTTAAAGGCTTTTTAGCAAAGCCAATAAAAGGTGTATCTATTGTGAAATTAGTGATTAACATTAAATGCTGGCTTTTGTTTGCTGATAGCATTTGCTACAGATAGCTTTTTATTTATTAAAGAAAGTTTCATTACTAAGTTACAAGTGAAAAGCATATTATGAAGGTTGAATATTATTCCCTTGGTAAAAGATGAGTCAGGAATTTATTTTTCATTTCATATTTCACAGATCTCTTCTGCTTTGTGCTGTTCTCTTAAAGCTGCCCACAATAGCCATTTTATTTGCCTGTAATCTGATAGCATCAAACTTGTAAATTTTGTCTCCTTTTTTTCAAGTATCATAGCTTTGCAGCTCTTTCCACCTGACATGAAAGATAGCATAGTTCCGAAGACTAGGTGAGAGCATGATAATTCTGTTTATTAGTGCGTCTTCTTGCTTTAATAATGATTGCAAGGTAGTACTGCTTTTTTCACTTCTGGAAATGCCAGATCCAAACAACGCAAATGCGCAAATCGCATTATTTCTAATTATTTATCACTTCTACTTTCCTTGTACATTTATCATGACTACTTTCCTTTGTGTCAGTAAAGGAAGTCATGAAAAAATTGGTTTTATAAGGTATTATTTTTCTGTAAGGCTGAGCTTCTGATCAGCAATCAGGTCTTTCATTTGTTTGACTTCTCCCTATGCAGCACAAGCAATTTAAGTAAATTAGATTTAGTTAATTCCATTCTTTGCAGTTGGTAGGTACATGAAAAAACTTGCTCTATCAGAGCTCAACAATTATGATTTATTGGTATTGAAAAGGAACAGGAAATGTCTAATGGAACCATCAAAAAGTTAATTGGGCGAAATAAGTGTGTTTGGTTTTGTTTGTTACTTTCATGCTGTTATTTTAAATATGTAGCTGTACATATGCACATTTCCAGTTTTTCATGTTCCCTTTGATACATGCTCTTCTCTATTAGATATTGGTGAAGGAAGGAGAAATGCAATTCTTTAATTTTAGTGGCTTTTTAATATAAAAAAAATAAAAAAATAAAATGCAAGTATTGTAGTATCAAGTAGGTCCGAAAGCCGTATTGGGAATTAAAAGATAGTGGAGTCCAGATGAGAATGAGTTAAAACCTTTTTACAACAAAAGTTAATTATACTGATATCACCACAGGGCGTTAATGTGGTAGATTCAAAATAGGATTTGATATCCGTAAGTATGCTGGAATCATCTTCAGAGTTCAGATGAATTTTGGGCTGGTTGCTGAAACTTGTATGTCAGAGTCTTTTAATTTTCAGTTGTTCTAGGGATGGCAGAAACTGCTACAAGGGAAATTATTCTACATCATTGCACTGAATGTTTGTCTGTGCTCATTCCTTTGTGGCACAGGAAAAAGAGTGAGAATGGGAGTCAAAGTGGAGAGGTACGATTAAGTATGACCATTCTTGTGTTTCTTGAAGGATTGTCAGTGCTCCATTTCTGGGATAATGTGTATGAGAAGGATTTATGAGGCCTAGCTTTCTAAAGGTCCTGAGCAGTGCTTGTCATAAAACTGTATATTGGTCAGAGTCAAGTTCTTTTGTCATACAAATATCTGAACAGAATAATGTTCAGACCGGCTCACTGTCATAACAGCACTCGGGCTGAGAGTAACACGACTTAGAGGAACTAAAACAAAACAATAAAACTTCATAAATCAAGTTTGCATGCCATGTTTGAGGCTTTGACAATTGCTTCTAGACACCCTAAAAATAGGGGCATATAATGGAAATGCTGACAGATTCTAAACTATCACGGTGGTAACAAGCACTGCTATAATTAGGTGTGCTGAGTGAACTGTAATATGATTGCTGTGTTTATGCCCTGTGCTGGAAGGAATGTTTGTTAATCTGGACAATCCTTTTAGATGAGTTTGGGAGAAAAAGTTTGTGGAAAAAAGATGCTGAAGCTTCCTTAATATTCAGGGTGATGTGCTTCTTTTGATGTGTATCAAAAAACAAGAGATATCTGCAAGATGTTAGATGACTCTGGTTAACTGCATAATGTGCTTGTTAAAAGAACTTACCTGAAAAGATGCAGCATTGGGTAGTTCAGTTCCAGAAGTGACATTAAAATTTTATATCTTTACATTATAAACTGAACATTGTTGAAATTGTTTGTATTTGATAAAGAGTTTTCCTTTCCAGAGGTCAGAGCCCAGCTGTTTCTGAATTTAAGTTGCTCCTGAAAGCACATTCATTAGAAACTTATGGTGTTGATCCTCATCCTTGCAAGGTAACAAGTTTTTTTTTTTTTTTTTTAAACTAATAACATTTAATAAAAAGCCATTAATTGAATTTATTTAGATCTATATATTTTTATTTATTTATTTAGATATAAACAGGGAGTCAGTTGTAAAAGAACTTATCCCTAGTACTGCATTTAAGCCGAAGTACATTTGAATCCATGCAACAACGAAAGAAAAGGTCTCTGCAGAAGAACCATACTGGCAGGACGATATAGTAGTGTCAAGTCAGAAACTATGACTATGCTTGATAGTTTCTTTGCACTTACTGCAAAGGTTTCATAGATGCTCAGGTATTAAATACTTGCTTGCCAGGAATTACAAGATTCAGGCTTACTGTTGTCCAGAAGTTGAAGGAAATTATTAGACCTTGGCAGAATAGTTTTTCAAATACCATCAAAATATGTAAGTCTTACGAAGAACAGCAAATTAAGTGATTGTTTTGTGGTTCTTTATGGAAGGCGACTTCCAGTTCTGATCGTCCCTTACACCTACATTTTTAATTACTTGGTTTTATCCACATACTCTACACTCTGTTAATTTTTAATGTTTGCTGCTTCATTTTTTAATTGCTGCCTTTGATTTTAGTCCACCTTGTATACTGTCTAATTTGGTTAAGGAGCAGAAATGTGCACTGCTGCCCATTTGGCTGCCTTAATGATGAGTGCCCTCAAGCAGTTACCTTAACATAAAGCTGCTTCAGATTTCATATATACTATGCTTGGAGTGTTGTTCTTGTGTGAAATACAGGTCTGATTCAGAGATGAGTGAAGTCAGTGACATTGTAAACTTTAGTTCAAAGCTGTAGTTTTCAGAGGATGTCTCTTATGCTGGCACTTAGGACAGAATGAGAATTCATTCAGCACCTTCTCTCTATGTAGCAGGACTTATAGAGTGGGAACATGCAGGAGTTCATGGCCTGAAATGATGGAAAAGTTTTTAGACTTCTGGAAGTAAGATACAATGCACAGTGGCCCCTTGCAAGATGTTCCTTGCAGTTGTTCAGCTCTTTCTCAAGAAACAAATTAGTTTCTGATTATTCTTATCTTCTTGATTGATTGAGCATAAGGCACAATAAACCCAATATAATTTAACAAGGTAAGGGTCTGGGACTTGGGATGGGCAGGAACTCCAGTTAATACCAAACTTACTCGATTCTTTGCTCAGAAAAGTTAGGGCAGAACTTCCATTATGTAACTAATTTTTTTTTTTTTTAATGGCATTTCATAAACGTAAAGGCTATTAAATATTCTGGTTTATATTCGAGAGTACTTGCCTACTTTAATAAATGTTGTTTTTTAAAAGTACCATCACATTAGAAATTCTGTTAGTCTGTTAAACATGTGGGCATATATGAGACTTGTTTCACCTCTATTTTTATTAAGTATTTGTTGCTTTGAAGTGTACGACTTGGAAGACATTTTATTTTGAAAAGGAAAATAAAATACAGGTAGCCTATAATGTAATTATAACTTTAGCATTAGTAACAGATGTCTCACTGGATAAAGGCAAATTATATTTCTTTTTTCTCTTTCAAGGACTCAACAGGAACAACTACATTTTTAGGATTCACAGCTGCAGGATTTGTAGTTTTCCAGGGGAACAAACGAATTCATTTGTTAAAATGGTAAGCATGTAAGAGTGCATTAATATGGAAGATTTTTCTTTTCACCTGTGTCTTCCTTTCTTTCCATTATTTTCACCTGTATCTTTAAGGTGAACCACTTGGATATTTCTTCTCTTGCCTCATCATGTTTCCTTTTTTAGAGGACCTCTAATAAAAAGCAGAATAATTTGATTTTGTTCTTCCTCCAATGAACATGATTTAACACAGCACATTAGTCAATGTAATGTAAAAATGCTAAAATGAGTAAGCTGATTTTTCAGCTCTGCTGTAAATCACCAGTGAAGCGTATTGACAGAGATGTCTGGAAAAGTTTACAAAAGTCCACCTGTGCTCTTATATGGTTTTTATATGCTCTTAAAAATCTGATTGTTTCCTCATTCAATTAACTTCCTTCAATTCAAAAACAGTACTTGATAAGCAGATATGTAGTCTCAATCTACCCTCTTCTAGTTTAAAATTATTTCCCCTCATTCTGTACTACATGCTCTTTTAAAAAGTCCCTCCCCAGCTTTCCTGTAGGCCCCTTTCAGGTACTGGAAGGCTGCTATAAAGTCCCTCTGCAGTCTTCTCTTTAGGTTGAAAAGCCCCAGCTCTCTCAGCCTGTCCTGACAGGGGATGTGCTCCAGCCCTCTGATCATCTTCATGGCCCTCCTCTGGATATGCTCCAGCAGCTCGATGTTCTTCTTCTTTCACTGGAGGCCCCAGAACTGGGCTTTCTCTTTTTGCTTTGTCCTTCCCTCTTTTTTTAATTTTTTTTTTTCTTTCCTTAAGGGAGGGTCTTTTTTTTTTCCCCTTCTTTTTCCTCCTTTTCACTTCTTCTCCCCTAGTCCCTCACCTCTTTCCTTTAACATATTTGACTTAGTTTTGCAACCTCAGCCGTGTTTAAGGGAGAGATAAAACTGAGCTTCTCCAAACGAGGCAACAGGAGATGTCTGTACTCTCAGCAGTGTGGTGCAGAGTGTGTACAGGCATGCTGAGAAGTTCATGAATCTCATTTTGGTCCAGTTGCTAAACTGGTGCCAACATCAGAAACTTAGAAGCACTCTCAGCCTTTCTTGTGGGAAGGAGATGGGCTGGAGATGAGGAAATGGTGAGGCAGCTATTTACATAAAGATGGGCTCTCCTACACCTATAGAAATCTCCCTGAGAGCTGAATAATAAGAAATCCTCAGGGGTTTAAAGTCAGTGTAGTTGTACATGTAACACACATTTCTCTATGCAGCTCTGGGGATTGTCAAATACTGAGCATTTGTGACCCTGGATTCATGTTGTAGTTTCCCTAGGGTTACTATCAGGTTTCTCTAGTAAGAATGTTTAAGTGGTATGTGCTTTTGGCATCGTGTCCTGATATCTGTAGTGCCATTCTATGACAGAAGGAGAGAGTATCTTTTGCGAGGCTTGTATCCACCATGAGAATTGAGCTTGAGTGCTTTATTTTTCTTGTTTCCATGCAAGGGAAGGTGACTTTTTGAAGATTTTTGTGTATTCATTTAGCCCGTTGGCATGGAAACAAAATAAAATATTGACAGATGAAAATTCATGAAGTTGTCTCAATGTTATGCTGGCTATTGGAAGGTTGATCTGTTGGGATTGATCTAGATACAGTGTGATGCTTGTACTTTTTGTTTATAAAACCTAGAGCTCAGTAGCTTTCACTGGTATTAGCTGATGTTTACACCACTCAGTAAAAATCCAAATTCGTATTTGGTATTTCCTTGTCTTCTGATCTTACTGATCTTGTCCCAAAAATCTCAATAGATTTTGAAGACTGACAACCATTCATTACAGAGGGCATTATTTATGGTAGACATGCCAAAAGAGTATGATAATAAAAAGTAGCAAAATATACTGTATGCTTTAGTTTGTGCTGGGTTTTTGAAAAGAGATTGGTTCTGTAAATTATTGTCACAGTAAGGTATTGGTAATATATTGTATTAGTGCACTGGCTCAACAAAAGTGTCTTTGGATTCCTCGTTTGCCTTTGACTTACTGTCTTATTATTGCTTACAGATGTTTACTTTATTTCATGCACAATTTTCAATTCAGGATCTGACTGATTTCTGTATAAGGTTCTAAAGCATATTGCATCTTTGTAACCTGCCTACCAAATTACATTGGTGTTGAATCTTTCTATCCTTCTACTGAAATTGGACTTTTTTGTTGCTATTGATAAATGTTAAATACTTGTTAGAAAATTTCTGGAATAGCATCCTCCTTACCTCCAGAGTCATTCCCATTTCAATTGTGCATCATCCAGAGTCTTCAGGGAAGTTTGAGAAACTACAGTGTTTTCATCTCTGCTCTGGTAATGATGAAATTTCAGTTGCAATTTAATTCAGAGATAATTGTATTGTCTTAATGCGGTGCAGCATTATTCCATATCTAGTGCTTTGAACCTGGGTTAAATTATAACACAGGATAGCAACACACAAGATCCAGAAATAAGTGCTGTCAACCCTGTTTCTTTTCCAACATCCCAAATGAATTTTTTGCAGGTGCACAGGGTTGTAAAACAAATACTTTGCTTATTTTCCCTGCTCTACAAGAAATCAGAATATTACATACTTTTATGCTGAATGTTTTATGCTGAAGATTTTATGCTAAAGGCCTCTCCTGAAGCTTTTGTCTATTTAAAGCCTCCTTAATGTTTGTGAATCAGTGAGGTCTGCATGCAAATTTTCTTACCTGCAGTTCAGTCTGTTGTCTACAGTAAATCATTTTTCTCTTTCTAGGTGTGATGTCTATAAGCTGAAATTTGAAGGGAAGACTTTTTATGTGTTTGGAGCTCAGAAAGAGGTCAGGTTTAATATTTTTACAGGAATTCTGTATTTGATTTAGAGTCGACTTAAATATCATTCTTAACCAAACTTAAACTTCTATGAAGAATGATGATAATTATAAATATATATTTTCTAAAATGGAATGCAAATGAATGTGAATATTGTTGATTGTCAGAAGAGTGTCTTATTTGCAAGGGATTGAGATGTTTCTTACTTAACCTGCAGGCAGTGATGAGTTGATTGCACCTGGTTTTGATTGTCTGTGTAGCCAAGTTTTAATGGGTTTTATAACACTAAAGCTCTACCTGCCTACTCTAAAGCATGAACCCTCATGGGTATGGAATCCTGGATCAGAGAAAAATATTTTTATCTTTTTAGGATCACTTTCTCAAATTTTGCTCAGCTAGATAGGATGAAATCTTTCTTAATTAGAGTACTGTCATTGGACTCTTACAATTAAAATTGTGGCAATTTTCCCTGCAACATGCTCTAATCAGTGCTTTCCCATGGGCAGAGTGATTTAGCCCAGTATTATGGCTTTGGATGCAGTCTGAGTGAAGAAAATGGTGGAAGGAAGCAATACCTCAAGTAGCAGGAGCTGTTTGTATGGTAGCAAGAAGGATTTGGTGATAGGACATAGTGAACAGGGGAGAAGTAGGTGGTTAAGCAGTGCAGCAACTGTATAATAGTGGAATATTAAACAGAAAGACTTTGATTTTGGGCTGACGACTGTCAGGAGAGATTTATCTCAGAAGTCACTTATATATATGTTCTTCTCTACCCCTTCAGAGCGTTCCTTTTTATTTCTGAAAAATTTGCCCAAGTAGTTTGATTACCAGCCACATATGGTATATATTTCTTTTAGCGAACTATAGATGGAGGATACACAGGAAAACTTGGTCTTCAGTTTATCTGATTATTACTGATAGCCATTAGGTATGAATGCTTCATTTTTTTCAGATTTCAAAAGTTTGTTTGTTTTATTTGTCTTCTTTTTCTTGCATATAGAAAAAGGCTGTACTGACATTCCATACCTCAACACCAGCAGCCTGCAAGCATCTTTGGAAGTGCGGGGTGGAGAACCAGGCTTTTTATAAGTAAGTAAAACTGCAGTCTTCATCTATACTAAAATGAAAAGAATATGTGCATCACTAGAAGATTATTCAAAATGAAATGTTCTGTTTCATTATCAGAATTCAAAATGAAAACAAAAAATATGCATGTTCTGAGAATGCTTGTTAGAAAATTTTATTATTAAAGTGCATGTTTATTAGAAGCCAGTATTACAAAGTGTTCAGAAACTGAAAGGTGATGTTGGATGGATATTGTATTGAACTTTTGTTTAGAAACACTTCCTTTTGGGTGGGTAGTTTTTTCTGCCACTTAGTCTCTTCTTATACTATTGCGTTATTATTTTTATTAAAAGACTTTCTTTGTAAGTAACACAAAGAGGATGGTGTAAGGGTGTATCCTTACTCTTACCCATAACTGCACAGGAAGAATGTATCTTCTACCATGAACATTAATAACTTGCTTTATTTTGGAGGAGATTCCTTCTTTTATTTTAATATTGATAATGTATCCTTTTAATTCAATTAATATATTCAGTGGGAATGCCAGAAATATGAGGTACTACAATAAAGCTGCTAATTCATCTCTATGACGAAAAACTGTTTTAGTTATGACTCAGTCCAGGCTCTCAGTTAATGGTTGTGATTATTTTCAACTACTTACAAGCCATAGAATATTGTCCTCTGGGATCTGAGAATGAGAGACTAAAATGAAATCAGTTTGCCATTTTGAAGCCACTGTACATTAAAGAAATAGCATG